GAGGATCAACTATTCCCACATATGAGCTCATGGTGCCCATTCTAATTCAAACCACCATGGCATGGCAGCAAGAGCAGAAGGCCTGCTGGTCACTGAGAATCTGCATTCAGAGAGCAGAGCACAAGTAGGAAGTTGAGCCACCATAAAACCTCAAGATCCCCACCCCCCAGCGACCCACTTCCTCCAGCAACCTTCTACTTCCTGAAGGTTCCACAACCTTCCCCAGCAGTGCAACCTTCTAGGTTATGAAGACGTTTCACATTCTGCCACAGTTGCTGTATATGAAGTCAAAGCAGCCCCTGATGTGTGCTGAGCACTGTATGCTTGCTGTCAATACCCATGTCAGTAGAAGAATATATTCAGGTTTTTCTCTCTCAAACTTAATTTGAAGCATGCGAATTGGTAATACTTCAAGGAGGTCTGCCCGTTGTAGACTAGCTATGGAAGGTATGACAGCCAAGAGAACAAATTTACAGGGAAAACTTACCTGCAAACACCTAGGGTAAATACTAATGCTAAAAGCCTGGGCTTCTAGAACTTCTGCTTACTTTGGTCTTCTTCAGAATTGTGTTAGGTATTTGTCTTTTATGATTTCCATTGTATCTGCCACATTTTAGAAAAATATCCCCTTTGTTTTCTTGTCACTTACTACAGTAAAGAATAGTTATCTCACAGGGCGGAAGTGGCGCACGCCTTTAATCCCAGTGCTCAGGAGGCAGAGGCAGGCAGATCTCTGTGAGTTCAAGGCCAGCCTGGTCTATAAGAGCTAGTTCCAGGACAGGATCCAAAGCTACAAAGAAACCCTGTCTTGAAAAAAAAAATAGTTATCTCCTCTTCCCATGGCCTTGGAATTTTGTTTAACTGGTTGTTGCAGGCTGTCTATGGCAAACTGTCTATTATTCTCTAATAATGCGTCTTGTTATTTGCTTCTCGGTGGCTTGGCTTTATTTCTAATACTCACTGTGACTACTAGAAAGGAAGTATAGTTAAGGACTAAGCGTTTGTATTTAACTAGTACTGCAAATGTGACCTATGGGAATTCTACTATTTAAGTCACATTTTAAAATAATGAAGCCATCATTAGGAAGGAAAATTGGAACTAATTTGTGATTTCTGACTAAAATAGGGCATCTTAGAATAAAATATACAAATGTTTAAGATACTTAGGCAGTTGTGTTCTCTCAATTTTATTTTTCATGTTTTGTATGGTTTAATAATAGAATAGTTTTGAAGGTCATTGCAATTATGATGACATCAAAAAATAATTTTGCAATAAAAGCAATTCTTTTTTTTTTTTTTTTTTGGTTTTTCAAGACAGGGTTTCTCTGTGGCTTTGGAGCCTGTCCTGGAACTAGCTCTGTAGACCAGGCTGGTCTCGAACTCACAGAGATCCACCTGCCTCTGCCTCCTGAGTGCTGGGATTAAAGGCGTGCGCCACCATCGCCCGGCTAGCAATTCTACTTAGAGAATAATGAACAAAAATATTCTTATTGTTTTTTTGAGAAGAATAACCTTTATGATTTTTACAACTATTTATTTGTTACTCATAAACTTTGGCTGCTGAGTCTCTCTGTGGTGATTGGCTGTTTGAAATCTGAAATTGTTACTCAGTCACTGCTGAAAGGCTGTATGGGTGTGGGTATAACAAGTGTAATTGCTAGGCATTTGTATCCAGTGTAGACCAGGATCTATCTCTGGTACATGAGCTGGCTTTTGGGAGCCCATTCCTTATGGTGTGATGCCTTGTTCAGCCTTGATACGGGGTGGCTTGGGGGGAGGGGACTTGGTCCTGCCTCAGTTTGATGTGCCAGACTTTGGAGGCTTTACCCTTTGAGAGGTGGATGGCAAGTGGGGGAGTGGGGAGGGGAGTGGGGGGAGGAGAGAGAGGGGAACTGTTTGCTATGTAAAATGAATAAAAAATTTAAGAAATTAAACAAAAAATAAAGATTTTAGTTACTTTTAATTTCTTGTAGAGAATGTCAGTTGGAAACATAGCATTTCCCCTCTGGATTGAAGGGTAGGCTAAACAGTGTAGATATGCTTATCTCAATTAAGCCTTACCATAATCCAATCAGGCAGATGTAATATACACAAGAAAACTGAGGTTAAGGGCAGTTAATAACGCTTTATAAACTACTTTAAGTGAAAGATATACAAGCAGAAGTCACAAGAATTGACGTGAGAATGACGTCTGAGACACTGGCAAAGGAACAGCTGAGGCAATGGGTCCTAGAGCATTACTGTGCAAAGAGCAAGTCAACACAAAAAGGCTAATGAATTAGGAGGACGAGGGAGAAAGGACAGAGGACTGAAAGAATGTCAGCAGAGGCCTGGCGCTGGTGGCGCACGCCTTTAATCCCAGGCTGGAAGAGATCTAGAGAGAGTAGGCAGAGTCAGGGAGATGCTATGTATCTGCCAAAGGAGAAGGACATGTCAGAACCTTACCGGTAGGCCACAACCTTGTGGTGATACACAGATTAATAGATGAGGGTTAATTGAAGATGCAAGAGTTAGTTAATAAAGAGTCCCAGCTAATAGGCCAAACAGTGTTGTAATTAATATATATTCTGTATGATTATTAGGGCCTGGGCAGCCGGGAAACAAAAGAGCAGCATCCACTTACATAGTTCCATCCATTTGCCCATAAATTTTATGATGTCATTGTTTTTTACAGCTGAGTAATACTCCGTTGTATAAATTTATTACATTTTCTTTATCCATTCTTCAACTGAGGGGCATCTAGGTTGCGTTCAGGTTCTTTCGTGCTATTATAAATAATGCTGCTATGAACATAGTTGAGCAAATGTCTTAGTAATATGATTGAGCATCTTTTGGGTATATGCCCAAGAGTGGTACTTCTGGGTCTTGAGGTAGGTTGATTCCCGATTTTCTGAGAAACTGCCATACTGATTTCCAAAGTGGCTGTACAAGTTTGCACTCCCACCAATGGTAGAGAAGTGTTTCCCTTACTCCACGTCCTTTCCAACATAAGCTGTCATCAGTGTTTTTGACTTAGTCATTCTGGACAGGTTTAAGATGGTATCTTAGAGTCAATTTGATTTGCCTTACCTGGTGACAGAGGGTTGTTATCTGAGGGTTTTCTGTCCTGCCCAGTTCCCACAATTGTTAAGTACCAAGGAAATCACACAGAGGTCTATATTAATCATAAACTGATTGGGCCATTAGCTCAGACTTCTTATTAACTCTTATAACTTACAATAGCCCATTATTCTTATCTGTGTTAGCCACATGGTTCAGTATCTTTTTCAGTGGCATACTTACATCTTGCCTCTTCTCTGTCTGGACAGGACTGCAGAGGGAGCTTCCATCTTTCCAAAATTCTCCTGTTCTCATTGACCCGCTTCTACTTCCTGTCTGGTTGTCCAGCCTATGCTTCCTGCCTGACTACTGGCCAATCAGCATTTATTTTTAAACATAATTGACATAATATAGACAATTGTCCCACACCAAAGGATGTTGAACAATTCCTTAAATGTCTTTCAGTCATTAGAGATTCCTCTGTTGAGAATTCTCTGTTTAGCTCTGTACTCTACTTTTAATGGGATTATTTGGTATTTTGCTATCTAGTTTCTTCAGTTCTTTATATCTTTTGGAGATTAGCCCTCTGCCAGATGTGGGGTTGGTGAAGATCTTTTTCTTATTTGGTAGGCTGCCATTTTATCTTATTTGCCATGTCCTTTGCCTTACAGAAGTTTCTCGGTTTTAGGGGGTCCTATTTATTACTAGTTGGTACTCCCAGTGTCTATGCTACTGGGCTGGAGAGATGGCTCAGTGGTTAAGAGCACTGACTGCTCTTCCAGAGGACCCGGGTTCAGTTCCCAGCACCCACATGGCAGCTCACAACTGTTCGAAGATCCAGTTCCAGGGGATCTAACACCAGTGTACATAAAATAAAGTAAATAAGCAATAAGAAAAAAAAAGTAAAATAAATCTTTAAATAAAAAAAAAAAGAAGTGATCTCTTGTACCCTTGTATTGAAGGTTACTTCCCACTTTCTGTCCTATCAGATTCAGTGTAACTGGATTTATATTGAGATCTTTGATCCACTTGGACATGTGTTTTGTTCATGGGGATAGATATGGATCTATTTGCATTCTTCTACATTCTTCTGACATCCAGTTACGCCAGCACTGTTTGTTGAAGATGCTTTCTTTTTTCCATTGTATAAATTTTGGTTTCTTTGTCAAAAATTGGGCATTCATAGGTGTGTGGATTAATATCAGGGTCTTCAATTCAACTCCATTGGTCCACTTGTCTGTTTTTTGTCAATACCAAGCTGTTTTTATTACTATAGCTCTGTAGTAGAGCTTGAAGTTGGGGATGGTGATGCCTCCAGATTGTTTTAGGTATCTTGAATTTTTTGTTTTTCCATATGAAGTTGAGTATTATTCTTTCGAGGTCTGTGAAGAATTATCTTGGGATTTTAATGTAGATTGCATAGAATCTATAGATTGCTTTTGTTAAAATTGCCACTTTTATTATGTCGATCCTACCTATTTAAGAGCATGGGAAATCTTTTCATTTCCTGATATCTTCTCCAATTTTTTTCTTCAAAGATCTAAAATTCTTGTCATACAGGTCTTTCAATTGTTTGGTTAGAGTTACTCCAAGAAATTTTTTATTTTTCATGGCTATTGTAAAGAGTGATGTTTCTCTGAGTTCTTTCTCAGCTCATTTACTCTTTGTATATAGGAAGGCTACTGATTTTTTTGAGTTAATCTTGTATTGTGCCACATTTATAAGAAACTAAATTCTAATATCTAACCCAGTTCTGGTTAAAAATAGACTGTTTGCACCTATATTTTTGTCTACTGTCAGAAGAGTCTCCAATTCAGGCAGTTCATGCAGTGTAGTTGGCATCACTAGCCTCTACGAAGTCCTTAAGATCATCATCTACACATTGTGAACAAATTCATGAATCCTTAAAAGATAGGTACTTATGCATTTTAAAATAACTGAAATGCATGTTTGAATTTTAGAAATCTTCGAGAAGCCAGGGATAATGCTCTCGCTGAAAAGAACCGAGCAGTGACAGCCGAAAAAGATGCTCTAGAAAAGCATGAGCAGCTCCTTGACAGGTAAGAAGGAAATGGAAATGCTAAAATTCTCCAGTGCTTGTTCCTCTTGCATTTTTCCTTTAGAGAAATTTATTTTAAAGCTAGCTATAGTAGAGCATGCCTGTAATTCTAGCAGTGAGACAGGAAAATGTATCGAAGTTGGAAATTGGCCTATGATTTTCATTTCAAGTTGCAATACAATTTAAATAATTGTTAACATATATCAAAACCATGATGTTGAAATTAAGTAGCTCCAGAGAGTTCCTGTACTTTTTCAGTGCATCTTACCTACTGCCCTTCTGGAGGCAGCAGCCTTGATTTCTACTGCTGTCATCAGCCTTGTTCTTCTTAGACCAAATGCCAATACAATCATACTTTATTGACTCTCTTTGATCTAATTTTCTTGATTTAGCATATTGGTCATTCCTTATTTACGTTCTGAATATACTAGTTTGTTAATGTATTCTCCTGTTGAAAAAAAAATGGGGTTCTTTTCAGTTGCAGCTACCAAAGTCAAGCTGCTGTGAACATACTTAGTCAAGCTTTGTGTGCGTATGTGTGAGTACGTTTTGTGTATATGTATGTGTGAGCACATTTTGTGTATATGTATGTGTGAGCACCTTTTGTGTATATGTACGTGTGAGCACCTTTTGTGTATATATATGTGTGAGTACATTTTGTATATGTGTGACCACATGTTTTGTGTATATGTATGTGTGAGCATGTTTTATATATGTGTGAGCACATTTTGTGTGTATGTATGTGTGAGCACATTTTGTGTATATATGTATGTGTGAGCACATTTTGTGTATGTATGTGTGAGAACATGTTTTGTGTATATGTATGTGTGAGCACCTTTTGTGTTTTGTAATTTAAGCAATTCATGCAATTAAAATTTGGATGTAGTTTAGTGGAAGAGCATTGCAGAGAATTTGAAAGGCCCTAAACTGGATCTATAGCCCTAGGAAAAAAAATATAAACAAAAAAAGCCTCACTAAAAAATTGTTATAAGGCAGAGAATAATAATAGAAATTGAACATCAGAATTAAAATCTAGTAGATCTTTTGATTTATTGACCATTGATAAGCTGAGTGAATTTTAATATGAATATATATAAACCCCTGGGCTTCTGTCACATGTTCGACTTGACTTATAGGGTTAAAATGACATCTGAAAATAGCTGGAGCTAACAGTGTCAGATGGAGATGTGCTCTGCCATGGCCTTTCCTTCAGAATCCTGTTGGGATCTTGGCACCTGAGCTTGAAACCAGAAAACCTTCAGAAGAAAAGTGACCAAACTAGGAAAATTCAAAGATACCTTTTAGTGGCAAATTAAAGCTGCTGACAGATATTTGAATGGTTCACATGTAAAAGCTGGTTTTTATACCTGAAAGTACCTGAAGCAGCAAAATTGAGATTTCTGGGTAAATGTCATTCATAAAAAGTAAAGGAACACTTTCCAATGGGGCTTTTCCACATGCTGTACTTAATCAGGTAATTCTCTTATAAGATATTGAGACAAGATGGCGGGGAATCCAGGCAGAATGCATATGTCCTGATTGAGGCTTCAGTTGGGTGGCTTGAGGAATGTGAAGTCCGCCATTTTAAAAATCTTAAATGTACTATTTTTTATTAAATGTAAATTAATACATGGAGTCCCTTATTTTATCCTTATGTTACCTGTGAGAGTTGCTTATAAGAATGATACATTGGTTAAGTTACCACATAGAAGGAATGATAAGCTCACTCATTTGACAGTATTATTTTGAGGATCTACACATTCATTTTTCTTTCTTTTTTTTCTTCCAAAAATCCTGAAAGGTTAGGACTGTGACTTAAAGAGGATGCTGCCATCTATGTCCACATCACCATGAATGCTGGCATTTGAGTTGGGAATGAAGGAATTGGTTGAGTTTGTGTATAGTGTGAAGCCTTAGACCTCATCCTAGCATAGCAATAGTGCATTAATATATATATACTTAATTTACTGAAAGTTTTCATTGTGGATTCCAAGATGCTTGATCTAATGTACTTTGACATAGTTTTTATAATTCTGGGCTATTAAACACAGGACCCTGTGTATGCCACGGCAATACTTTACCAGTGAGATATACTCCTAGCATATCTGGGAATTGCTATATGTTATATTAGTATGTGAAGTAAAAGGCAAAGGTAAAACTTTTTTTATTCTTTGGAGATTGGCTTTTTAATACCTGGATTTGTAAATCTGGCTTCCTTCTTTTCAAAATGAGAATAAGCGAATGTGTGTTGATCTTTACAATGAATGTGGCCTTGCTGAATCATGTTTAAGTCTAGCGTCCAACATGCTCCCGTCATGTATAATTGGTATCATCATTTTTTATATGAGAAGGTTTTATCAAATGCCTCATTTTATGATTAAACAACCTGTGTCATTACTTTAAAAAAGCATAAGGAAGCAGTGTGCCTTTTTCAAACATGAATGAAAAAAAGGCTTCTACTCAAAGGCTTCAATTGCCTACAAAGAAAAGAACTTTTCTTAGGTATATGAAAGACCTATGTGTGTTCTGGTTTCTAGCACAAAAAAGTCTCTAACATTAAGTAACAGCTACCTGGCACTTGAAAACACAAGCAGAACATTAGCTCCAGTCCTGTTGTCTCGAATCTCTGTTACTCTGAGGGTTCCACCCACCAGGAGCAAACGTTAGAAGTCAGTCAATGGGAATGCTGGAAAAGATGGGTACTCTTGACAGAAGCCTGAGTCTGGAGCTCCAGTGTGAGCGCACAATTTCAAATAAATTTGCATTGTAAATATTTTCAGCTATAGTTTATTTTTTAAAAAAAATATTTCCTTGTCCAGCCTTGATACGGGAGCTTGTGCCTAGTCATAGTATAACTTGCTATGCCATGTTTGGTTGATAGCACTGGGAGGCCTTCCCTTTTCTGAAGGGAGAAGAGGAGGCGTGGATCTGGGGAGCAGAAGAGGGAAGGAAATTGTGGTTGGAATGTAGCATAGAGAGAAGAATAAATTAAAAAGGGAAAAGAGCCAGACAGTGGTGGCACACACCTTTAATCATAGCACTCAGAAGGCAGAGACAAGCAGATTTTTGCAAGTTTGAGACCAGCGTGGTCTACAGAGTGAGTTCCAGGACAGCCAGGCTACACAAAGAAACTCTGTCCAAAAAGGAAAAAAAAAATATTTCCTGGCTATTCATGATGGCATATCCCTGTAATCCTAGCACTTTCAAAGTAGAGGCAGGAGGATCAAGAGATTGAGACTATTCCTCAGCTACATAGCAAATTTGAGGTCCACCTGAGGGACAAAAGACATTATCTCAAAAAGTAAAAGTAATGCATGTTTGAGAAGAGGGTGGGGGGAGATTTGGGTGTTTTGAGCATCTAGTTTACCTAAAAGTACTTTCAAAGGACTTAATTTGAATGTTTTCAGTCTCCACCCCACAACTTCTCTGATAACGGTAGAAGATACAGGATAGAGTGTGCAGGAAAGTAGGAAAGTAGGTGGTCGGAGTGACATTTGTACCATATTGAGCTAGTTTAAAAGTTAGTATAGCCAGGCATGCCTGCATTCCAACACTTGGAAGATGGAAGCAAGATTGTGAGTTTGAGGCCAGCCTGGGACCACAAGAGACCTGTCTCAAAAACAAAATAAACTCAGCAGTTGATATGGAAACAGCTCCCACTTTCACAAGAGGAAGATATTAGCTGTGCTTTCCTTCCCCTCTTCTTCTATTTCTGTGTGCTTTGCCTTTGCTCATCTGTCCTTTCATCTGCTCCTGCATGTCAGCAAGGACGTGTTTGTGCGGCATACTAGATGAACTTAGTGGACTGAAGCCTATTAGGATGGGAGCTAGAAAAGGTAGTATCACATCTAAACTTTGTATAAAATGGATCATTTTATAATATTATTCCTAATTCTCATGTCTATAAGTAATTCACATAATTTGTTTTAAATGCAGAAATTGCTAATCTGTGTTGTTCCTAAAGGACACAAAATACTTTAACACTTTGTTAAATCTACATTAATGCATTCTTAAGTGAAATTTTTAGTGTCTGAATTTTATATTTGCTTTTTTATGAAGTTCTCCATGTCTGGGCCAATCACTTTCATCAGTTTTATGGAGTTTGCAAGGTTTATTTTTGTTACTTGATTCTCTTATTCCTTGTAGTCTTTCTTTTTCTCCATTAGATCCACCAAATTCAGACTGAACTAGAGTATTCATATACTCACAACTATAGTCACAACTAAAGAAACTCCTAGAAAGCATAAGATTTCTAAAACCAAAAACAGAAAAATAGAAGAAGATAGAAAAACTGATCATGTTAAAATACATGGCACAGAAGCATGGCCATGCAACTTTAAAAGTAGTGAAAGAGAAATAGTGAGGTACAGGGACACAGGAAACCAAATTGGTAAGAGAAAGATGTTATAAACAGAAAATAGCAAATAAAAGGACAGCGTGAGAAAGGCACTGTACACAGGGACTCAACAGCATGTGTCCATGTGCAGACAGTTAGGGCATGAGGGGGAAACAAAAGCACTGAAATAAAAGTGAAAAATGTAGGAGCCGCACGCCTCTTCCCACAGCCCGGCTCCTGGCCGCTTGACTAGCTTAGGCCCCAAAATAACAACACGGAACTGGATTCTTTTAAACACTGCTTGGCCCATTAGCTCTTGCCCTTACTGGCTAATTCTCATGTCCCGATCAACCCATCTCTAATAATCTGTGTAGCACCAGTCTTACCAGGAAAGATTCAGCATGTCTGACCTGGTGGCTTGCTTCATCGCATCTGGCTCTGAGAGGAGCTGCATGATTTCTGAGCTCACTTCCTCTTCCTCCCAGCATTCTGTTCTGTTTACTCCGCCTATCTAAATTCTGCCCTATCAGATGGGCCAAGGCAGTTTTTTTATTAGCCAATGACCTTCCTCCATTAGAGAAAGACTTGTAACTTGTTGCCAAAGACAGTGCTTTTCTGAGACAAGAAGTCAAGGATGGGGTGCAGGAGAAGACAGGAATCAGCTA